AGAAACCCTATGAACCTGGAGAAAGGATGAAAGTCACACAAGTATTGAGGACTTTCCTTCATAGGGTTGCTATGTATTACCTATGACTCAGCAGCACTTAACAAAAACAACAAGCCTGTTTACCTTGTTTACTGGGTAATCTGTCTCTGGGTTTATAAGAAAGCTTTGATTCTGTGGTAAGGTGCTAACAGATTTGGAGAGGCAAATACCAGACATATCTACAAGTAGAATCTTTGATGCAGTAGGGGAGAAAGTGAAATTGTTCACTTTGGATTTATAAGTAAGCAGAAGGAAACTCGTATTTTCTCATACTTTCTCTGCTTAAAGGGTAATCAGATGCTGGTCTTAGGGTCCAAATGAACTGACACTATGCAAATTGCAGTTAGCAACTTTGAACAGGATATGCATAATGGGTCATACAGGGAGGAAGGAGGGGAAAAGACAGGCAAGATACAGTGAAGATTTGATAAGACACTGTGGTAAACAGCATTGATCAATTATAATTAATGTTAGAAAACAAAATGTATCAGAATGACTGAATACCCAGGATAAAAAAGTACAATCATTTTAAATTTGCCTGCTTCTGCCAATAATGGTTTTTTTGCCTTGTACTTTTTTGGGTTCAAGATCCATTTAGCTGTCCTGTCATTTTGTTGTGTGCCATCAAGTCGGTACTGACTCATAACTGACTCTCTGAGTGGGTTATCGGAGACAGTGAATTGCATAGGAGACATTTGCCCATCCTTTTTCCACAGAGCATCTAGTGGATTTGAACGATGTGCCTTCCAGATTGCAGCACTAGGCCACCAGAGCTCCCTTCTTGTAGGTAAATTTAAAAAAAAATCTCCGTTTTTATATATTTCATGATATTGTCATTTTAGAAGAGGTGAGACCAATCGCTTTGTAAAATGTTTCTGACCTTGGATTTGCCTACTTATCATACACGCACTGATTCAGATTAAATATTTTCGACAGGATTATCATATTCTGTGGATAATGGTGACATGTTAATGGTAATTTCCTGTGTGCAGTTACCTCATTGTGTTTATATAGGAGATTAGTTTTGACCTTGGAAGATATCTCTTGAAGTGTTTAGAGATGAAGTGTGATTGTGTCAGAGACATTACCATTAATTAGATCAGTAGAGCAAAAAAGAAAAAGCAAAGCAACAAACCAAGCACACATGTAAATATGGACATAAATATTAATAAACATGTACCATATAAACAGAAGTATATACCATATAAACAGAAGTATATTAACCTATAGATGCTAATATAAAAATATGTACCACATGTTTAAAGGTACATAAATAGACATAAAGCAGATGTGGCAAAAATGTTCATTGGTGAATGAATTCCACCACTCTCATACCTTTGAAATGATCCAAAATAAAAAGCTAGAGAATACTTTAAAATTTTCACACAAACAAAATAAGCAAATGTAGCAAAATATAAACTACTTCTAAAAAACGGGTGACTGAGTTTACAGGTTTACAGCTAGAATCCACTAGCTGCTCCTTTGGGGGGAAATGTGGCAGGCAGCGTCTGTAAAGATCTGCAGTCTTGTAGACCTTACGTGGCGGGTCTCTAGGAGGGAGTCAGAACTGAGTTTGGGCGTTCTGGTTTGTTTGAGGTTGGTGCCCATTAAATATAAAAAGTTGTTAGGAAGTTGTAAGCTCCAGTTAGGTAGCTCCCAATAGCAAAAAAAAGATTCAGTTCATTTAAACATGGGTTGGTTTATTGTAGGACTCCTCTAATAGAATGTATACTTCATGGAGACTTTGTCCCAGTTAATATAGAACACACATATAATACATGAAGGTAAAGTATGTCAGAAATGAGAAGTAAGGATGGCGCAGAATAGGGCAGAGTTCAGATCTGTGGTTCACAGGATCACCGTGAGTCGTAATTGATTCACTTGCACATACCACCAGACCCCTTTGCACTGGTAAATGGATCATGAATGATGGAAGCATTGTGACTCTAGGTAGATCACTAAATACGATGTAACTCATATTTCAGGGAAATAAAGAAAATTTTTAAAAATCACAGGGATCATACATTTAAAGAAACAAAATCTCTACCCAGAATAAAGTTCAGCAAATATGAGCCTTATCCAGCATCAAACATGAGTGCACACACATTGCATTTATTTAAACTCCTGTGTACGTCATTCCAAAAGGTGGGTTTTTTTTCTTAAATAGGCTTATACAGTTAAAAAAAAATCCTTGAATCCAGTCTTTTCTTTCCAAGAATAAACTTAACAACACAGCCTCTCTATTGGCGAGTTATATCTTAGCTTAATTCATCCACTGGAAAGAGCACTTCTGTCCCTGCATTCAGTTCTGCCAGGATTGCCTTGGCTCCACATATCGCCAGGGACTGGTGTGTACTTTAATTTGGGTGCTTTAATAGGCAGGCTGCCTGTTCACCAGTGTTGACAGGCCTAAATAATTAATGCTTCTAAATATGCAGGGCTCAGAATCTCACCGTTAAAATGTGCAACGTAGTTTCACATGCTTTACTTACTTCACAATCAAGAAATAAGAAAGAAAAAGATCCTGAAGTAGGAGACAACAGTGGCACGAATTTTTGGAATTTACAGTCTTTTCAAGGACATGCAATATCTTTTCACACACTGCACCATCACTGTCAGTCCCAACAGCCCATTAGCCAAATTCAGATCTCATGAGCAGAAAAAGAATCCGATTTGGAGATTGCCCTGAATCAATGAGGCATGAGAAAACAACCTCAGGCACTTCCTCTTCCTTTTAAAAAGAAACTTGGCTTTTGGACAACGTTTGGCTTCTCTGGAGCAGGATTTGCCATTTGCCTTTTGCCCACAGCTCTAGGTGGTTCAAGTTCATCACATTTGCTTCAGCTACTCTTGCTTCTGTCTGAGAAATATCTTCTGAACCCTCACCCACTTTCCTCAGTATCTTGGTCTTCCATCATCACTACAAGGATGCGTCAGTGTCCTGGTGATGAGTCCAGCAAAAGTGACCTTAACTCTATGAATTTAACTCCTCACCCTCCATGATCTCTCTCCATGTAAAACACCTCAACAGTGAGCCAGTAGACTATGCTTTAGTTGTAGGCATTACTTGAGAATGTTTTAAATCCGTAATGTCTAACTTTAAAGCCTTCCTCTGATCTACCACCATATAATTCATTTACACCCTTGAATCTTCCCTTTTGTTCATCATTTCTGGAAAGGCTGGCTTTGTCTATTTATTCTATCTTCATGCAAGAGCCCAAGCATGAAATGGATTCCTCAATATAGCATGGTCTTCTAAGCAATAGAACTGTAAGTATAAGGAATCAGGTAGTTACAAGTCTCTTCCTTTCTGTGGGTTTTTTTTTTTCCTTTATGAGAAGGGATTGAGAGAACCATGTAAAACCAGTTTAGAAGCCAGGGAAAATAATGTATACAGCATGGAACTGATTCAACCTGGGCCTTAGAAGAAGGAGAAATGAAGATGGACAAAGTATCTTATCACCTTTGTAAAACTTCCTGTTGTCTAGCCTATCAGGGGAAAAAAACAACAACAAAGCAACCCACAATTCTTTTCATTACCGTTTTAACAATTACTTTACAGTGTCTTACTCATTTTGACCTTTTTCCTTTCTGCTTCACTGAATTCCAGCTTTCTTAGAACGAAGACCTAGGCAGAGAACACTTGAAAAATTACACCAAAGCATGATGACCATTTATTTCTTCCTACAAAGTCATCTACTTTTTTTTTAGCTCAGCACACGTCATTTGATACTGTTCCAAGACAGTCTTCACTTTGTTCGAGCCTCACTCATTTTTAAGATTACTTGATAATTTCTTTTGTTGAAAGGATAACTCTTTAGCTTCCCTTCTCTTTGGCTGAAATTGCTTTCTTAGAAATGGCCAGTAACAGAATTTATGGTGATTCAATGATCTGTAATTTATTTTCCTTTTTATTGAGCTGTCCTCCTCATTGCGTCTTTGACCACATGTTCCTGCTCTCCATTTCTTCACTATATCATCGCCTGTATGGAATGTTTCCCTTAGGTTCAGAATCCAAACATCTGTGTTATTTATCATGATCTTCAGTTGTCAATTCTGTAGGGCTTACTCTCTCATACCTCTTCGGCCTGTCCTCATATAGCAGTATTTTATTTTCCTGGTAGACATGATTGAAAAAAATTTACCAGTTTTTTGAACACAGTATTTCTACAAACAAACTTACCACTACAATCTTCTGCCTAAATCTTCTCTTCATACTTCATTTGCTCACATCATCTAGTCAGTTGTTACCCAGGTCCTTAATAGTCTATATTGATCTAAGAGTCTCACAGCCAGCTTTTTTTCTGTCTCAGAACTCACAATCCCAAAGCCCCTTTAGAACTCACATATTAAAATCTTTGTAATACTAGTTTTCTAACTTCTCTTTCCATCTGTAAAAGTTCTACCAAGCAGAAATTCCAGATTACAATTTAACATAAAGTGCTTTTAAACTATATCTCACCTATAAGATTTCCAGTGGCTCCATGACAGCCACCAAAAGGAGTCAAAGAGCTCTGTCCAAAATTCATGTCTTGGTCATATGACTTACACCTTCCTCCACAAGTTTACTTCCCTCTACCTCCTGCTTGGACCCTGCCTTACTAATAAAGCTGTTTCCTACCCTTGGCCTTAGTTCCACACCTTTGCATATACTAGTGCTTTCATCAAAACATGTTTGCTTACACCCATAGACCTGGGGACTCTCCACAAATAATTCATCATAAGGCCTTCTCTGGTCTCTAAATGGAGTCAAACTTTAACACCATCTGCTTTATTCTGAATAACTGAATGATCAGCTCTATGCAGGACAAGCGTATATCACTTATCTCTGTACCCCCCTGGTGAATTTATGGTACTGCTATTACAGAATTTAACTGATGCTATGGACCTCTGAACAAATATTTTACCATTTCTACGTCTAAGAATAATAATAAAAAAATTCAAACAATTAAGGGACTTACCCATGGACTCTGAAGTTTGACTGCCAACCACCCGGAGCAGCATAGGCTGACTGCTGTCTGACCTCTGAAGAGAGGTAGAAGGAGATGACAGTGTTGTACCATTCACCTTGGCCTCTGCCTGGGGCTAAGATATCCAGAGAGAGAAAGAATTTTTTTTTTAATAATAAACACTCAAAACTACCTATGAAAGAATGACAGACATTTATGACTCTTAAATTTTCACCTTTCCTAATTAGGAACCTCTCAAAGACTGGGAAATTCCATTATTGATAAGATGTATGGATGTTTATTTGCTTCTGGAAGTTTGAAAACCATATGAGAACTGTAGAGGAGTAAGTTATTATTAGAGCCCCTAACAAAAAGAATTTGAAGATAATGTGAGAATGGAGAACACAAAGATTTAATAGAGGGGTCATATATTTGTGAAGTATTGGGTAAGAAGCTGAGAACAAATGTCAGAATTAAAAATCTCCAGACAATAGGGACTATAACCTGCTTAGGGAGCTCCTGTGGCCTAGTCTGCAGGGAGTTGCACTGTTAAGCAAAGGCAGCTCTTCTCTGCAGTTCAAATCCACCAGCAACGCCATGGAAGAAAGAGGGACTATCTCCTCTCATGCAGTTTACAGCCTTGGAAAGCCAATGGCGCCTCAGTGCCCACCCGACAGCAATGAGATAGAGATGTCCAGATAGGACACTATCTTGCTAGGTTTTCAAGGAAGGGTTTAAAAAAAATACTATTTTAATTGGAAGAAAAGGGAAATAGAGGCAAGGCTTATTAGAAAATAAAACTAATTACAAAGAAAGTGGTTCTGTTTACAAGAGGTAAAATTTTCACTTTTGGAGAACTAGTGGATGCTTTATATAATTTCTTCCCACTGTGGTAGAAAAAAAAATCTGTAGGAATCAATCTTGAACAAATATTTTAAAAGCATTCTACTTTCCTCTTTTCTGTCTCCCTCCCCCCCCCACCCCCGATATCAAGCACTTTGTGAGATGCATAGCAGATACTCGAAAAACATGATGGTAGCTGCACATATAAAAAGCACTGAGTTCCTGTCCGTGTCCCGTGTCATCACAGTGGGGGCCTCACTTGTTCTAGCAGCTGCCTTAGCCTGTGGAGCTGGGACTCCAGCTGTTTATTGTGGTCTTCCAGGATTTGCATCCTGGCTTCCAGGCGGCCTTTGTGTTGACGCAGAAGCTTGGCCTCAGCAATGAGCTCAGCATCCCGGGGGCTCTGGGGAGAAGTTGGCATCATTTCTGGAGGGGACGGCAGTGGGGACAGGCCTTTATGCTCATGCTGCTGCTTCAGACGGTCGTATTCTGCTTGCAGATTTCTGTTGGCATTGTTGGCAGCAAGGGGGGTGGAGAGAGAGGAAAGCAAGAAAGAAAAAAAGACAAGACAGATACTTGAATGTCATTGAATCTCACAGCACATGGTAAAGAGATGCATCTGACCACCAACAAACACGACAGCAAGCAAAAGAGAGGCACTTAATGAATGATTTTTGTGATGACAACCTTACCAGTGCTAACGGAACAAAATAAAAATTGAAGCATTTACCTGGTGTGTGAGGAGAGATGTTTTTCAGGGTTTTTTTTGTTATACTAAAAGCCTTATGAGTGCTATATTCAGATAAGTACTCGGCAAAGAATTTAATAATTTGGTAAATATGACTCAGAATGTTATGGAGTTAAGATTTTTTTATATCTCTAGCAACATTTTGGTTTGCTTAAAAAGATCATCAAATATGAGCTTCAAGAGAAATGTATAAGAATATGGTAAGAGTACATAGCCACGTATCCTGAATCAAAATGTGTCAAATAAAATATGACTACTAAAGGTGAAGCTCCCCATATACCCTCCTTAATATCATTTAGTTACTTCCTTGTCTTTGCTCCCAAAGAGATAATGCTATATTGATTATGATCATGCAATATCATCATTATCTGCAAATGTTAGGTTGAACCTGCTAAAGATGCTGATAGGCAAGTTGGTGTTTAAAAATGGGCAGTTCTTGTGATTTAGTCATATAGCATTTTACACGTTCTTAAACTCTTGTTTAAGAACTTCATGCTGAAGAGAGTACATACCATTCTAAGAGTTGCTTCTGCCTTCAACATCGTTCAGAAGAGTAATCCATGTCGATAAAGGTCATGGTTCTAACTTCTGTAAAGTATTATTATGTTTGAATTTGCCAACATTATTTTATTACTGTGGGATATTTAGTTTGTCGTCCAACTTTTCACTAGTAACAAAAAATGACATGGTACACACCCTTCTTTCTTTCCGTCTCTTTGCATGCCTGATTAAGATATTCTTTACAGAATATATCTAAGATGTGGGATTGTTGGGTCCTAGCAACACCTAAACATTGCTGTCAGATCAACAAATGACTCTAAGTGTGTTTACATTTTGCTATGTCATTAGCAGTATATGAGAATCTTCATCTGACCACGTCCTCATTAAATACTTTACTCAGACATTAAGTGTTGAGTAATCTGACTAATGTATTCTAATTTTCCATTTTTATGATTAAGTTTAGGTTAACCATCTTACAAATGAATTTACTCTCTTCCCCCCTCCATGTCCTTCCCCCAAAGGACAAGAATCCAGAATACATCCTTTGTTCTGGATATATCCTAGATTTCTGGTCCTTTTGTCAGGCGTGTGCATGGCCAATACTATCATCTACTCTTGACACCATGTAGCTCATCTCTAACTTTGTTTATGGTATCCTGTTGTAAAAAAAAAAAAAAGTGGTATTTCTATACCCTCAAACATTGTTCTACATTTTAAGTCCTGTTTAGGAAAATCTTTCTTTAAAGCTTACGTTATCATTTAAAGGTTAGAAATTTGTTTGACGTACTTTAATCTATCCAGAATTCATTTTTGTGCTTTGTGTGAACATAGTATCTAATTTTATTCCCTCTACATCCCTGTAGATACCTTATTAATGTGTTATTAGGTGTTGCTGAGTATGCCTCAGATACTATGGACAACATATCTGGATCCTGCTCTATTCTGTGCCATCCTCACAATCTCGGTCACACTTTAACCCATTGCTGTAGTCACTGGGTCAATCCATCTCACTGAGGGTCCTCTCTCTTGCTACCCTTCCACCTTTCGAAACATGAGGTCCTTTTCCAAGCCTCTCCTGGCAACATGACCAAAGTATCTAAGACAAAGCTTTGCCTATCTTTCCCTCCAAGGGCACTTTTTTTCTATGACATACCAGTTTGTTAACCTAGCACCATCCACTCCTCCTTGCACACTCACACTCATTTGTAATGGTGCTTCTGTAATATCCTAAGTGTCCATAAATAAACAGGTTAGGTGTCTGAGCTCTTTACTCGGACCATCTATTTGTATATCTGTGTGAATTCTACATCTTTAAATAAAAGAGACATGTCAGGTCTTCCCATCTCCACGTTGGTTTTCTCCTCAAAACTGTCTTGGTTCTTCTGAACCCTTTGCTCTTCCTAATGATCTTAGTGTAAACCTGACACTTTATATTAAAATCTTGATTGAAATTTGAATTACACTGCCCTGATGATAGATAAGGAAGAGTTGCTATTGAATCTTTTCACTCAGGAACATGGCAGTGAGCGTCACTTTGCCCATTAATAATGTTTTCTAATATACTGTTTTACCACTAGCTTTTGAGATCGAAAAGAAATTTAAGCATTCAGTTTTATTGTTCTTAATCATGATAAATGGTGAAGAGATTGAGATTTTTAACAGCTTTAGTTTGCTTGGCTCCACAATCAAAACTCTTGGTACCAGCAGCTAAGCAATTAAAAGATAAATTGCATTGGGAAAGTCTGCTGTCAGAGACCTCTCCAAAGTACTGAAGAGCAATGATACATCTAAGGTATACCTAATCATAGTCTTTGCAATTACTTGCTCTGTGTCAGAAAGCTGGACAATGACTAGGGATGATAAGACAATTGATGTCTTTGAACTGTGGTGCTGGAGTACTGAAGATTCCGTGGACCGCTAGGAAAACAAGTTTGTCTTGGAGAAGGTGAAGCCAAGGCTGCTCCCTGGATACAAGGATTCTGGTTTTTCTTACATACTTTGGACACGTGACCAGTCCTAGGAGAGAGATGTCAGGCTTGGGAGGGTGGAGGGACAGTGCAGAAGAGGAAGACCCTCTATGAGATGGATTGATTCAGTTACTGGGGTGATGGGGGTGGGTGTGTCAGAGACAATAAGGTTGGCACAGGACAGGGCACGGTTTAGGGCTGTTTGTATAAAAAGGGATGCTATGAGTTGCAAGCGACTTGACAGCACATATCATCATCAACCATACTGTTATTAACTGAAGTTACCTATAATCACTGTTGGATTTCCGATTACCATAAACACATGAACTCATTGGTTTCTAAAAAAACCCCCACATTTGTTACTCTCAATCCTAGAGAGTTCTTTTTCACCCCAGTGCCCTCTGAGAAAGCAGACTTCAAATTTTTATTCTCACTGACTTATTTTCTTCAAAAATCCACTTACCCTCAACTCTGATTTGTTATGATGTAACGCCAAGTTGACTACAGCCCATAGTGACCCTATGAACAATGGCTCTGAAACTTGCCCTGTCCTGAGCCAACCTCACTGTCTGACACACTTGATCCACAGTCAATCCATCTCATCCAAGGTCTTCCAAGCCTGGTGTCCTCCTCCAAGGACTAGTCCCTCCTGTAAACATGCACAAGTGTAAGAGATGGAGCTTCAAAGTCCTAGCCTCCAAGGAGCAAACTGCTTTCACCATCCCCAGGACAGGTGTATTTGTTCTCTTAAGAGTTCAATACTCTTCTCCAGCACCACAACTCAAAGATTCCAAGTCTTCTGCCGTCTTTATTTTCCAGCTCTAAGATTCATAGCAAGCAGTTGATAAGGCCATGGCTTATCAGGTGCATCGCTGTTCTTTAGAACTCTGGAACGATCCTTGACAATAGATTTTCCCCAGTTCAACTTACCTCTTGATTTCCTGACTGCTGGTGTCTGGAGTGTTGACTGTGGATCTGAGCAGGATTAAATTAATAGCTGCAATGTTTTCTCAATCAATTATAAGACTGCATATTGGCCCAGTGATAAGGATATTTGTTTCTTGATAGTCAGATGCAATCCATATGGAAGGCTACAGTCTGACCTTTTGCAACAAACACTTCAGGTACTCCTCAGTTTCAGCAAGCCAGGTTGTATCATCTGCATAATGCAGCTTGTTGGTAAGTTGTCACATGTTTCATAATGTCTAGCTTCCCGAAGAATATGTTCCACATAGTTTGAAAAGGTATGAATACATACCTGACCCTCCTTCCTTGATTTTGAACCTTGGTCTTGACTGTTTTCCAATCTGAAATTGCGGTCAAGGTCAAGGCCATCATGGTCAAGTTCCTCTGTCAGGATCAAGGTGAAGGTCAAGGCCACCTGACATTGTGCTCAAGGCTAATGTGAAGGTCAAGGTGAAGTTCAAGGTCATGTGAAACTGATCAAGGTGAGGGTCAAGTTCAAGGCCAAAGTCATGTGAAACTGATCAAGGTGAGGGTCAAGTTCAAGGCCATGCAAAAAAAAAAAATTGATGTCAAGGTCAAGTTCAAGGCCAAACCCAATCTGAAATAATTGGTTAAAGCCAAGTTGAAGATCTAGACAAAGGTCAAGGCCAGTCTGCCACATCAAGGCCACAGTCTAGGCCATGGTAAATCAAACCAGTGCTGGCCTCAAGGTTGAGGTCAAGATCAAGGCCCCAGGTCAAGTCAAATTGTCCTGGCCAAAACCCAAGAGCCTGCTGGTGCTCCAAGTTCTAGGCAAAGTGCCCACCCACCCAACCTCCACTCCAAAGTCAGAGTCAAGGCTAAGAAAGTCTGAGTCGCCAATCCAAGTCTAAGTCAAGTTCAAAGACCTAACCCAAGTGCCAAGGTCAAACCAAAGGCAATGCCAAAAGTCCAAAGCTTAGGACAAGTCCAAAGCCCTAGTCCAAACTCTCTCAGGTCAAGTCCACTCCATCCATTCTTCACCCTATGTATAAAAAATGTTTCACTGTCACAGACCAAACACACCCATTTAAAAACTAAGGTGCACCAGATCCAAGCTATATTCTTTTCAGTTACTTCCTATGCATAGAACAGACAGACAATAAGGATGACAAAAAAAAAAGTTTACCTTAAAGGACAGCTGTTGGCTGGAATGGGTGAGCTGTAGGGTGGAATGTTAACTAAAGGAAGCAAGGCGTTTGTGATAAGGCCTTCTATTTAAAAACCCATAAGGGTGCATGGCCCTGGAGACCAGTTTGAAAGTCATGTACAGCAGCTGTTGGCTAGAATACTCAACACTGTG